AAAATTTTATCATAATAGTCCAAAATAAATTTAAAGACTTTAAAAAATTCCAAACATAATCTGATTCCGATACTAAGCTTTTTATTTTAACAATTAGAACTTTTTAAACTTTAAAAGAGGTTTGTAATCTATATAAGATTATATGAAAATCTATTTCTTGAAAAACTTTTACACCGTATTGTATCAAAAATACTCACATTTTGAAAAGAATAACAATCATAATTTAAGAGAAAATTTTAGAAATTGATATTTAAACAAAATATATCTTAACCCTTTTATTAATAAAAAGCAAAGTGAGTGATGTAGAAATGGAATTTATCAAAGTAAATCAACATTTTTTAAAAGAAAAATGTTTTAAAGATGATTAAAAAAAGAATTTAAAAAAGCGTAGATGAAATATATAAGAAAAAAAAAAAAAAAAAAAAATATGGAGGCTTAAACCTAATGCGAGATTAGATGTTTCGTCGGGACGCTTATATTTCATAGTAATTTTTAATTACGGAAAATGGAAGATTAAAAAAAATAATAAGATAAATTATATATGAAACATCCATTACATAATTGAAAAGGGCAACTGTAATTGTATAAAGTAATTGTATAATTACTTTGTATAAAGTAATTTCTTTCAAACTCAGAAACTAGTATTTAAGTTATTAGCTTCAATATTTAATAAGAAATTTCTCTAAATGTCCTATGCCTAAGAAACATCTTTCGGAATTTAATTTCAAATTTTATTTTATATATTTCTAAGAATGTGCTTAAATGCATAAAAAAAAATGTTTCCAACCTCCAACAAATAGGGAGCTGCAACATAAAAAGTTTTCCAACCAATAATACGATTCCGTCATGTCATCATTTTTATACGAATTACAAAATAACCCAATTTCTCACTAAGCATGGTAACTTTAAAAGCTATTTGAACAAATTTAATTTGGTTCTATCATCTTCCTGTAGCTGTAATATTGGTGGCGAGGAAAATGCAGAACGTGTGCTCCTTCTGTGTTTCAAGTTTGTCAGAGAAGAAAAGATTCTAAGAATGGCTCTCAAGAGACTTGGCATAAATTGGCCTCCGAATTTTCGCCAACTTTTTTTCCACCAGAAGTGCCTTTGAAAAGTTCCGTAAATTTATTGTAAATATTTGTAATCCTTCGTGACTTAATTTTTTTTCTTCTCCTTTCCTTTGTAATGTGTGTTTCATACCTACTTCTGTAAACCCCAAGTGATAGTTTGCAGTGCACGAGGATTTTCAAATGTTTTCAATTAAAAAAACAAGTAATATAAAAAGAATTTTTTGAAGTCAATTCCTACTTAGTTCAACAAAGAAAATTTTATTTTAGCTACTTTTTATTAAATAGTTACAATTAATATAAATATGTACATACTTATGATAGAATCACAACATTAAGTGGTAATTAATTTTTATTTATTATCATTAAAGTATCGTATTGTCATCCATGTATATAAAGTTTCAATACAACTGAATGCTTTAAAACGTGAGAAAAAAACATTTTCACACAAGTTTGGAAAAAGGCTCCAAAATGGTCGCTAAATCGCCAAAAATGATGCCAACGGGGCTGTGTATTTGTAATTCTTTAAATAATTAGTTTTAACCCATTAATTTTTATTAATTATAATTAAATTATAGTATTCTCATCCGAAATAATCATGTATATAAAATTTCAGCTCAATTGAGCGCTTTAAAATGTATTTCATTAACGATTGAAAATTCCATCAAGATAAATACATAAATAAATATAGAGAGATCGTGAGCTAATAGTAGGAATTGAACAACCTCTAACAAATATCAATTATACAACATTGTTTCTTTCACTATAAGTATTCTTAAAGTGATACTTACTTACATATCTAAATCTTACTTGACACACTCTAAAAACCATAATATTTTTACAATAACTTTTCCAATGTAAAACAATTTCCTTAAATATTATTGTAGTGCCCTCAGAATTTCATCTCCAAATTTCTTCACACCACTTATATCAACAACTAAATTTTCGAGACTAATGAATGCTAACATTGATAATAGAGCGCTTTTTACAGCACAGTTAAAATTGCATAAAACAGTAAACAATTTAGTATGGTTTAATTTTCACTACCGACTTTGCAGGTCCCTGGAGATACAACCAAAGTAAAGCCATTACATTATCGAAGACCCTTACAGAAAATTGGATGACTTAAAATGTACTTGCTTAATGGGGTTGAGTGAAGCTGGCCATACCGAACTACTGGCCTCCACCTGAACCGTAAGGAAAAGGATATGCAAAAACAATGAGAGCAATAGTTGCTGCAAGGAATACACTGGTGGATAGAAGGTTCTGAAAGGCCAAGGTGCGTGAGTCCTAGGCAATATAAGATAGTTGTGTAGCAAGCCCGAACTGCCTCACGGCACGATTGTCCAACATGCTACACACTCTTCCATATCGCTGGCAGTACTTTTCTCTACCTCACAATGTTGGGCTGTATTTGGGTATGCTCTCAACAATGACATCTTAAGGCATGGGCCGACTGGGCCCAGGGCCTCACCCTCTGTGGAGGCTTCGTTTCGTTCTCAAATAAGTCTTACTAAGACCATGATCTGAATAATTTTAATGGTCAAATCTTAATCCCATACATATTCTCCAAAAAACATAATTTCAAATTGCATGTCAACTGGCAAAGTTGGCAAGACATTATTATTATGTGATGACCGTTGTCCATGTCTAGGCATGGGAAACAATCATTCAACTCATTTAGTCGAAACGTGGCCATAGATCAAGCTTGGTTTGTACCTAGGATTGTGAGCTAGTGAGTCGGGCACATTTATTTGTATTAAATTACCGTTTGTACAAGTATTTGATATTGCATGCTATTGCTGTCTTTTTAAAAATCCCAGGTAGGGCCTACTTTTGCATTGGAGCCCAGGGCTTCAGAAAAAATTTCTTTGGGCCCAGGGCCACAAAAAGTCTTAAGACGTCCATGGTCGCTAAAATATCTGACTTTGATTCCTCAATATCAGTATAATTGATTGAAGTGATATCATATAGTGATTCCATGATTACGAGCAAAAGGGCCTCTTATAGTATTCAGCGAGGAATCCTACTTAAGTTTTAGAGAGAATGATAGTGGAATTATCTGTGGAGGTGAAGAAGACAGTGGCCCCAACCAGCCTTTGTCTTACAGAAGCATTCAGCAGTTACTAGTATTTATATTTTTTACAACAGCCTACAGCATGTTGCTTTTAACCAACCTAAATACAATTTGAACAATTCGACACGTTGATATGGTGGATGGTTGCTTTTTCCCTTAATATTACATCATTCTGTGGTCATTTTCGAAACGAACAATACTATACCATTTACTTATTTCTGGATTGACTCTGTGCTGTTGATACCTTTGGCCAGCAAGATTGCCAAATCTTTCACCAATCGAACATGAGTGGGATTTGACAGGCTGTTAGATTCGGAAACCTTGAAATATAGAAGATCTGAAATAAAATGTTTGATGTTTGACAGAATACATCGCAAGATATGATTAGGAGTTTTGTCATTTCTTACGTTGACATATATAAGCATGCATCACTACCAGGGAGGGGGAAAGGAGGTTTGGCGATAACTGATTTTAAGAATAGTCGGTACCCCCTATAC